GGTGCTGCCGCACCATCGGGTGCTTAAATCAGACGTCCCATGGCACCACGGGGAAAGCTTTGCTGTGTGAAAACCGCCCTGGGCAGCTCCAGCACATCCCGGCTCACACTGTTCGCCTTTCCAGAGCAGTTTTCTGTTGCTTTTTGTCCTTTTTTTTCTCTGTACATGGCAGGGACCTCCTTGTGGCCAAGACCCCTTGAGCTTTTTCAGCTCTCAAACACCGTCCTCATCCTCATTGATGGGTGCGGAGAAGGGGAAGACGTCCTGCAGGAGGTTGGTGACGAAGCAGGGCATCTCCTTGCACCCCTCGTAGGTGCCCCTGGCCTGGCAGTTGAAGGCCACCTCCCCGGTGACGCGGGTCAGGAGGCGGTGCAGGGACAGGTGACGCTGCTCGCCCCGCAGGGCCTGCAGCACGGCCTGCAGGAACATGGACCCGCTGGGCCTGAGGAAGGCCACGTAACCTGGGGGAAAGGGAGCACGCAGCATTTCTGGTAACCCAAAGTCTGATGTGTTCCTGCTGGGAGGTGCTCAGTGAAGGTCTCACCCTGTGGGCTCCTGAGGAGACTGAGGGGAGACCTTATCGCTCTTTACAGCTCCTGAAAGAAGGGGGTAGAGAGGTGGGTGTTGTCTCTTCTCCCATGTAACCAGTGATAGGACAAGGGGAAATGGCCTCAAGTTGCACCAGGGGAGGGTTAGGTTGGATATTGGGAAAAATTTCTTGACTGCAAGAGTGGTCAAGCACTGGAAGGGGCTGCCCAAGGAGGTGGTGGAGTCCCCATCCCTGGAGGGGTTCAAGAAGCGTGTGGATGTGGCACTTGGGGCCATGGTTTAGTGGGCATGGTGGGGTTGGGTTGAGGTTGGACTGGATGATCTTGGAGATCTCTTCCAACCTCAATTTTTCTGTGAAGGAGCGCGGCGTTGGCTCCACCATGGCCATGCGATGGCTGCCTTGCCCAGAGGAGATGGTTTTGGTGGGTGCTGGTGTCAGGGGCTGTCCCTTACCCGGGCTGCAGGCGAACATCACCACGGTTTGGGGAGGCATGGACAGGAATTCGGTGAAGCCGTCCGGCTCACACTGTGTCCCTGCGCTGTCGCACTCCACCAGCACCCCCGGGTCGAGCTGTGCACCCCTGCAGGCCTGTGGAGAGCGGCTGTCATGGCCTCCCCCACTCTGCTCCCGGCCTTTTGCCATCTCCAGCTCAAGCCCAAAGCTCCTTCGGGCTCCCTGTGGACCTGCACCCCCTCCCAAAGCCAATTCCCCAAATCCCACAGCCCCACATGGTTCCTCTCCCGCCTCCATCCTCACCCATTGCATACCCAAGCCTCTCCTCTCCCCGAGCCATGGCTCCCTCCTCTCTCCCCTGAGCATTTCTTGCCAGCCTGGTTCTGCTCCTCTGTGCATTTACCGGCTGCACGTGTGAACCCAGAAACCCTGGGCTTTCCCAGAAGTATCAGGAAAGCGCTGGCAGAGGTTCCCTTTGGTTCCTCCACTCTACCTGAAGGTTTGCTTGGGTTGTTTTGCAGGGGCAGGCTGGGAAGGCGCTGGAGAGGAACTGGTGCTGCTGGGGCCGCGTTTCACCCCTACCCAGTGCCACCTCTGCTGGGACCAGAGCAGATGGCAGCGGTGGCATCTCCCATCATAGCAGGGAGCATCCCCTCTCCCATGCAACCTCCTCCCAAAATCCAGGGTAACTCCTTACTCGAGATGTGGCCATGATGCCCTGGCCAGTGGCCACCAGGAGCCGTGGCGATGCCAAGGGGAAGGAGCCCAGGCTTTGAGGGTCACCGAGAGCCGTGGTGATGCCGAGGGGCAGCAGCCCCAGCTCTGAGGAGCCCCAGCCCTGCGCTGTTTGCCCTATGAGGCCAGCATTGACCAGCACGAGCGTTGCTCCGGGTTTTTTGGCTGCTCCGGGGCCGTCCCTGCTCCCTGAGCAGCAGCCAAGCCCTTTGGGCAGGAGGAAGCGAATGCCACAGGCGATTTGTGCTGCTCACAGCGGGGAAGGTGGCTGCGTGTTTGGCACCCATCCTGGGCTATTTATTCAGTGCCATAATTCCCTGTGGCAGAGCAGCCTCAGGGCTTTATCCCTGCCAGGGCCTGTTCACAACTTCCCTGTTTCCCTGACGGGAGCTTTATTTTATTCCCTGTTTGTTCACCAGTTCCCAACCAAGCTTCTCCCAGTCCTGCCCCAGGGGTTTGCTGTGCCCGAATGTCCCGGTGATGGGGTCTGAGGGTGGTATTTACTGGTTCCTCCATATCCCAGTGCTGCCTGGGGGGAATATTTGATCCCAGCAATACCACGGATTGCGGCAAACATTTGGGTTTCAGCCCAGGGAATCCCAAGGGTGTGAAGCACCGGGAGAAACACCCCAGTCTGGAGATACTGGGAAGAGCCCGGAGAAGGGACACGGGGATGGGTGAGGCTGGGACAGCAAAGAACCCTTGAAATCAGTGAAAAGAGAGGGATTGTGGTGGGAGGTGATGGAAGGATTGAGCTCACACCAAAACCTACAGACTTAGACCCACCCCAGTCTTCAGCCTCGTGCCTCTGCGGGTCTAACTCTGCACAAACTCAGCCAGAAAGGGCTCAAGTTATCACCCAGCAGCCGCATTACCTGGATAAAGAAGATTTTGGGTATTTTGCTGAGCACCGGGCACTCCCCCGAGGACAAAACCTGGAAAATCCAGGTCAGTTTAAGCGGCTCCGAGTCGCAGCCGAACACGACCCCCTCGTCCCCGTGGCTGGAGA